AAGAAAGAAAGAAATCTTTTTCTCTTTACAAAATTCATTCTTGCTTTTCTTTTGATCTTTTGTAGCTTTTTTTTCCTTGCATTCTTGGTTCGATTATTTCCCATTTTCGGTTTACTCATTTATTTATTTACTTGCTTCATGATAGCGATTTGTTTTATGCATTTGATAGCCATTTGTCAAATTCGAACACTTTTTGATAGAATTCTAAAATTCTAAAAAGCTGAACTGGGAAAATGCCACAAAATAGCGGATTAAATCAAGAATATAAAGAAAATAAAGTTCTCTGTAGATCATGAGAGGTTGATGTTGGAGACTGGATCATGAGAGGTTGATGTTGGAGACTGGATCATGAGAGGTTGATGTTGGAGACTGGATCATGAGAGGTTGATGTTGGAGACTGGATCATGAGAGGTTGATGTTGGAGACTGGATCATGAGAGGTTGTGTGCATGAGAGGTTGATGTTGGAGACTGGTCTGAGAGGTTGTGTTGGAGACTGTCTGGGGTTGATGTTGGGGTCATGAGGTTGGGTGGAGACTGGACATGAGAGGTTGATGTTGGAGACTGGATCATGAGAGGTTGATGTTGGAGACTGGATCATGAGAGGTTGATGTTGGAGACTGGATCATGAGAAGTCAAAAGAAGTGAGAAGTGACATTCGATAACTCGTAGTTTTTCAGTTCATATAGTTGATGCTGACAGAGCGACGTTTCCTCGGTACAAGAACAACAAAAAGTTTTTCTGCAAGGGGAAATGCCACAAATTGACGGGTTAAACCAAGAATATAAAGAAAATAAAGTCCTCTGTAGATCATGAGAGGTTCATGTTGGTTCTTTGATTCATTCATTCATTGACGATTCACGAAAATTGATTCTTTTTAATGTTTTTTAAAGAAATTTAAGCAATTAATTTGCTTTCTAATTAAGAGAAATCTCTTTTTTTCTTCTTTCTTTCTCTAATTAAGAGAAAGAGAAAGAAAGAAATCTTTTTCTCTTTACAAAATTCATTCTTGTGTTTTTTTGATTCATAAAGCTTTTTTTTCTTTACGTTTTTCGCTTAGTTATTTGTCGCTTCGGTTATTTGCCACTTGTTCACTTGTGTACAAAAAAGGCTTTCCTTTGGTTAGTGTGCCTGCGCTCGGAACTCTTTGATCTTGATCCGCTAGCAGTAAAACTTTTTGCTTTTTTTGAAAAACATTAAAAAACCGCTTTGATTATTAGAAATTTGTATAATGTAATGTAATATAATGTATAATGTATAATGCTAGACCGAACCGAATCCGAACCAAGATCAAAGAGTTCCGAGCGCAGGCACGCTAACCAAAGGAAAGCCTTTAATTAAATATAATGATTGACAAGACGAGCTGGGTGTACAGGACTCGTTGAACCATTGGATGTTTACTTCTTTCAACCATTTAAAGGCGTATAGGAAAAATTCACGATCACATTCGAGCCAACAAACCGGATTTCAAGATCAGCAAGGGAGACAATATCATTAAAGTTCTTTCGGTTGTGTGTGAGTCGGTTTAAAGCTCCAGTATTTTTCAAGCTTCGTCAATATTCATGGTTCCGAGCAGGATACATCCATTTTTTTGTTTCATAAAGCTTTTTTTCTTTACATTTTTCGCTTAGTTATTTGTCGTTTCGGTTATTTACCACTTGTTCACTTCTTTTGTGCAAATTCTAACACTTTTTTTTATACGAAACTTAAAGCAATATAAAAATTAGATAAATATTTCAAATGAAGATAGTTTTGTCTTTTAAATTGTGAGAACATAAACGAATTGTATCAAAAAAAAATCAGAAAGATCATTTTGTAATTTTTTTCTATGATTCGATGTCCTTTCCCGCAGCTTCGTCGCAGAGTTCCTTCAATTTGGTGCCATAAGTGCGCAAGTGAGGGATATATTCCTCGGAGATTTCCTCAAATCGATTCCCAAACACCTGACAGTCTGGCCATTCTCCTCTCTTCTCGACGACCAAATTCTCGAAGAGCTGAATCGAAGTGTCGACTTCTTGCTGAAGAATGGGAACCGCTTTCGAGTAGGCGTTGATCTGATAGGCGATGGCTATTCCATCTAATCGTGTGAACTCGTGTTCTCTATGTTCCATCAGAAAACACATGGCACACAGCGTCATCTGGCACTCCTCGCAGTGGACGCTTTTGTTTGATCGATGTTCTACGTCGCATTTCTCGCATTTCTCCTTCTGTTGGGGATTTTTTAGAACGGAATCGAGCTCGTTGAGGAAAGCTATAAGGATCCTGTTCTTTCGATTCTGATCCCTGTTGGTTGGTGTTACGCAGTTTCCACACCGAACTTGTGTCTCGTTGATGAGCAGTTTTCCCGAGCAACCCTGACACACCGTGTGTCCGCATGGGAGATCGATGGGTTCTCGAGCTGATGGAGATGCCGAGAAAGGCACTGCACAAATCGGACATTGAATTTGAGGAAACGGCTTCTCGATTACGTAACCGCTGCAATCAGAGCTCATTTTCACGAGTCCATCCACGACGAGCTTCACCCAAATTGAGTAGGGATTTAGCGGGACCGAGGCACAAGCCGTCTCACCACATACATGCATTCGTTGGCGTCGCTTTGGATCACTGGCAACGCATCGACCACAGAGAAACGCTGACACACATTTCATTTGGTAGACCCCTTGAAGTTCTCCGTTTGCGCCCAATTTACAATTGCCAAGTGCCGGCTGTGCACAACTCCAACATTTGAACGAGTCGAACGAGTGCACTCGAATTGATTTCACCTCTTTATCAGCCTCCACATCGTTGAGAAGCTCAAACAGGATTTGATCTCGTCGACAATCCCACTTGTTGCTAGCGGTGTTGCAACCCGGGCACAGCACTTGTTGAGGGTTTTGGGGATGAAGTCGCTCCAAGCATCCCCTGCAAATTGTGTGTCCACACTTTGTCAAAACAACTGGATGCCGTTTTGGGATCGCGGCCGAGAAGCCCTCGTCACAAGTCGGGCATTTTGGCGTTGTGAACGCTTTTGCGAGAATGTACCCATTCTTGTCAGGACTCAGCCTCACCGTGTCACTGAATAAAATGCGCAACCAGATCGCATTGACATTCGGCGAAGCAACGGTGCAGTCTTTTTCGATACACAAATGCATTCGTTTCCGATCGCGCGAGCTCAGCGCATGGCACGGAGTACAGATGAATGTGGAGCAGCTCGTTTGGTGAAATCCCTGAATTTAGAAATGTTTATCGTTTTTAAAAAAATATTGGCAATTAACCAGTTTCAAAAATAAAGTGTATTTTCCATTTAAGCTAATGGGTATTGATGAGTTACTATTTTTTCCGTAAACAATTATAAAGCAAAAAACGGACCAGCTTGGAGCGACTTTATAGGCTGAAGGGCTTTGAAAATATAGAAAATATTGTGCCTGTCTTATCTGTATTAAATCAGAGTCAGTATATTGACGTAAATCTTTAAAGAGACGTGGACAATCCAGTGGACGGGATTGTCTGATTTAAATGTCTCACCGCCACGAGCTGAGATCGATTCACTCAGAGCTTGCACAAGGGCCGATAAGGGTTAGTGTGCCGGGCTTTCGATCGGCATCGATCTGGTTCGATTCCCCTTGGTGAAAACTCTTTATTGTTAATAGCCCTACTTCTCTATTTAGCGATTAGCCCTCCCCTCTCACACACCTGAACTTTCCCGTCAGCGCCCATCTCTCCAGTTACTGTTTCCCTGCAGTTCCAACACTTTAACGACTCAAACACCCTCACATTATTCGTGTCGTTCTCTTTGCTCATCTGAATTTGTACGGCTTAACATCTTTTGAAGCTTTCAGAGCTTTTGAAGCGATTTTCAAAACGGCTGAGAGCAATAAAATCTTATCTTATTTTAAGGAAACGAAAAGAACATGGCTAACATAAAAATTATTATTTCTTGGCAGTCCTACAATTTAGAAAATCTTAGGAGAACGGACAGTCACAAAAGGGGGCAGCTAAGGAGTCAGAGTACTTGGCAAGGAATAGGTGCATCAATGAGTCAAAGAAGGCGAGTGGTTATCAGGCAAGAAAAATCAATCGATTATCGGTGGGGAAAAGGTGAGAAACCTGTAGGAAAAAGCTCTCAACAAAGAGAAAACTCCTAGCAGAATATTGGTAGGAAAATTGAGTGCTCACCTATTTTGCCCCATTTTCTAACAAGGGGAATGATCAGAAGTGACCGTGACATTTCGGCACCAAAATGCAGTGCAAACACAAGTCGAATACGATGATCACGATGGTGCTTTCGGATTTTGTTAAGAAGCTCTAGTTTTCGAGAAAAACGCATTGCAAGCTTCGGCATCTACTCGGGAAACCGGCGCGCCAGGTTAAGTGGCTTCCCTTGCTCTCCCTTGCCAGCACCCCGATAGTGTAGTGGATAGTAGGTATAGGAAATCAGGTCGGATTGGGTCGGGTCGGGTCAAAAGTTGACCCGACAAACAGCAACAACAGCTGACAACAAATCCTTTGATAATGTTGAAAATCGTGGAAAACTCTGGTAAACGAGCAAAAGTTTGTTGATCTTGGCTGTTCATTTGAAAAAAAGTAATCTATTTGTTTGAAAAGAGGAAAAGAATCGAGGGAACCAGTTTTCTAAACACAAAAGCGAAAATCAAACAGCAACAACAGCTGATTGTGAGCACATTTTCGATGGGGAATTGTTTTTCTGGTCATTATTTGATAAAGTTAACAGGGAAAAGATAGTAAACAATCTTTGGCCATTCGTTTTCTCTTTGCTGAATAGCATGTAATTGGTGAAGTGAATGCGCTTACCGAAAAAAAAGGCTCTTGTGCTATACAGAGCCTGAGCCTAAGCCTGCAAGCTAGCAAGCAAGCTGGCAAGCAAGCCAGCTAAAACGCGTAATGCTTATGGAGAGTTTGAGCATTAACTATTGGTTTTTTGGATCTCGCTAAATATAATATTTAAATCAATTATTTATTTGAGATAAAATACATAAATATACACAAAAATGAAAGCTGTTTAATGATTCGATTTCTCGTTGAAATTGTTGGGGATTTCTTTAAGGAAATGATCGAGCTCTTGTTCGGCCACGGGGATTGGATCTCTGTAAATTGCATCATATGTTCATTGTAACAAGTTAATTTAGAACTGTGACTTACAGATAGATGATTGATTACTTGAGGGAGTCGAACCCTGGACTCTTAGACCTCTGAACAAACACTTTTCGATTGAGCCATCTGAGACTGATATCTCTAAATTGCTAGAGAATAGCTATTAGAGGATGAATCAACCCTGTGACTTCCAGATCGGTAATTGATCACTTGAGGGAGTCGAACCCTGCTCTGAGCAAGCACTTTTCGATTGAGCTATTCAACTCCTATCTCTAAATTGCTAGAGAATGGCTACCATATCAGGAATCAGTTCTGTGACCTCCAGATCGCTGTTTTATCACTCGAATCCACTACTGGCATGGCTAGTTTCAGCCTTGCAACTCACTTTCTTCCAGCCCATGTGAGATGTCTCGTATTCTTCATCTCTTTCTCTTTCAAAATGGTCGACATTGGAATAGCGATTGCGAACATCAAGATGAAACCGATGAGGGGATAGCCATGTGTGGAGAGTCTGAAATGAAAGTTACTTTATTTTTTGAAGAGCTTTCAGTCATTTCACAATGAGCATTTGAAATGCTAAGCTGGGAAAGGTTTATTTATTGACTATTTCTCTTTGTGCCACCCAGTTTGCCCAATGAACGAATTTTATTTGTTAATTAGTTCTTTGATAGCTTAATTCTATTGAATCCCTTTATGCCGATCTCAACGAAACAAAAAGTAAGCCGAGAAGTGGCTCGTTTACTGGCTAATTATTTCTTGTGACATCCAGAATGCCGAAGAGCCATTAAACTTTTGCAATGGAACCCGCTAGAACTGCAATAGAAGCTAGCCTGGAGCACATGACTGCCAGATAGTAGTGGGTTGTTTAAACGACTGCTGAATGATGCTAAACCGACCGACCCTGTGACTACGACGACTTTCTGACCGACCGATCGACCGACCGACCGAAATGACACCCACCGACTGATCCATAAAGTTCCCGGTTGTCCATAGTGTGCATCGTAGTCAGGCTGTTGGCGAATTGTAAAATTATGCGGATTTTTCACCAAACCACTGCATCCAATGACACTGAATCGACTTTTTGTAAGAATTTAAACTATTTGAATTACCTGGTATTCGTTGAGAGGAAAAGATTTTTGTAGGGATCTTCGTAATAGTTGACAATGCAAATGATGGCCATCACTGAACTTATGAAAGTGACAGGGTTGAGTCCTACTGTATTATGCTATTCTCTGGCTAGATTGACATCTCTGGCTTTCTAACTGGAGGTCACGCGTTAATTTCATCGATTTCTCTTTCTAGGGTTTTTGATATTTTTAGTCTAGTTGAACAAGATCTAGATTTAGTCTAGATTTAGGTAAGCTTTTTGTAGCTGTAGGTTAAAAGTTTTTATAGCTGAAGATCACTGAGATTCTAGCTGGAGGTCACATGTTTGATTGCTGATAAGCTGGCAGTTCTAAGTTTTAGATCTCAGTTTTGGATGGCTCAAATCGGCAGTGTTGGTTTAAAAAGCTAAACGTTGAGAGTTTGACCCCAATCGGTGACTAACCAGCTTTACTGGAGGTCACAGTGTTTGATTTCTTTAATGTTAGAGTTTCTATAGCAAACTGCAATATTGAGATCTAAATATTCTCAGGGTTAAGCTCGGTGAAGAAATTGATGAGAGCTTGACCCTGAGATTACAGACTGATCTAAAAAAAAGATGTAGTAAGATCCCCAAGTTTGCTAGCTTGGCTTTACCTTTAGCATGATAGTTTGCTAGCTGAATGCAAGACTGCCAATTGCAAGCAAGACTGCCAATTGAAAGCAAGACTGCCAATTACAAGCAAGACTGCCAATTGACTTACATATGTTCGAGACGATAAACGAGATCACACAAGAGATCACTCCCGATCTGGGGAAAAAGATGGCGATGCAAAAAATGGCGACCATTGGACCCGACATGGCACCCATCACCGACATGCAAACCTATAGAAAAATGAGCTTGAACAGATAGATTGGCAAACAGCCAATCTAGCTAAAGATCGATTGGCTTTTGTTATTACAATCGAATATCTAGCTTTCTTTCAAAAATCTACAACTTACTACAAGCTATAGCTACAAGCTACAACTTACTTAAGTTGTAGATTACATTTGGACATTACAAAGTTTTAGATTCTAGCTTTTCCTTAAAGCTCTAGCTTGTAGCAAGTTGTAGTTTGTTGAAAGAAAACTAGATAAAGCTAGAATCTAAAACTTTGTAATGTCCAAATGTAAGCTGGAGTAATGAGCAATGAGCTGGAGTAAATAAAAACTGACTCGTAAAATGCCACCCAATGATTCGGAGGTGAATGCGAGAGCTGTAGCGATGAGGCCACACAAGACAACAATTAACTTGAAAAATAAATTATTTAAAGAGAAAGGAGCAAACACTGTGACGAATAAAATGTCATTGGCCTATCATTGGCCTCTATCATTGGCCTCTATCATTGACCTCTGTCATTGACCTCTGTCGTTGACCTCTGTCATTGACCTCTGTCACTGTCAAAAACTGAGAGAAGAGTGTATTTTTTGATCAATTTTGATGTATTGATTGTCTCTTTCCCTTGACTCATTGTTCACCTTATTTATCCGTGCCGCTTGTGTGTCGGTGATCTTTCCATCTAACCGTTTCTTGAGAAAATCCTCGTAGATAGCTGCTGCCATTGAGTTCATTCCTGATGAGAGAGTGGACAGCGTGGCCGACATGATACAAGACACGTAGAGACCGAAGAGACCCGGGGTTGGCTCTAAAAACAGTGCTAATTGAATATCGCTGACCAATCACCTATCTGGAAGTCACAGGGTTGATTCATCTTCAAATAGCTATTCTATTGCAATTTAGAGATATCATTCTCAGATGGCTCAATCGAAAAGTGTTTGCCCAGACGTCTAAGAGTCGAGGGTTCGACTCCCTCAAGTGATTAATCATCTATCTGGAAGTCACAGGGTTGATTCATCTTCTAAAAGCTATGTTCTAGCAATTTAGAGATATCAGTCTCGGATGGCTCAATCGAAAACTGTCTGCTCAGAGGTCTAAGAGTCGAGGGTTCGACTCCCTCAAGTGATCAATCACCGATCTGGAAGTCACAGTTCTAAATTAACTTGTTACAATGATCATATGATGCAATTTTCAGAGATCCTGATTGAATTCAGTCTTAAAGAAAAACCCTTCATCTGTTTTAGATGGTCAAATGGAAGATGGGCCTTTGATGTAACCGATCATCTAACTCGAGTTCACAGGCTCGATTTTCAATGTTAATTTTTATATTACAAGATTGAGCTATCAGTCCGGATTATGGCTCAATCGGTAAAGGGTAACTTTGAGCTCTAAAGATCAAGGTTTTGACTCCCACTAGTGACCGCTCATCTATCTGGATGTCACTGACTGTTTGTCACTGACATCTATCTGGATGTCACTGACTGATTATTGTCATGAGTTAGTCAAACTTACGTAGAACGTCTCTGGCAAAGAGAATAGTGATGTGATCGGTCTCTAGAATTTGTCCCGTCTCCAATGGATTACAATTGTGGAAATAGGCCAACACCAACAACCCGACAAAGGAAACAATCGAGACGAGAATGACAAAGGGGAGCAGGGTGCAGAAGATGATTCCCTAAAGAGAAATAAATTACGCAAATGATTGATTTGATTTGACCCTACGCGAGCGTGTTGAACGGATGGAAGGCTGACGTATCGTTGCATGGCCAATTGATTCACCCCGAAAAACATGAGCCACCAGATTGTACCCGAGAAAATATTGATCCAAATTGAGCTGTACTGAAAATGAGTCAGTTGAGAGTGTTTAAACTGATCTGGTTTAAACTGATCTGGGTTTAAACTGAGCACTAGCTTACAAACAACTGCTAGCATGGCTCGCAAACAACTACTAGCCAACTGGACAACTGCTAGCCAACAGCAGCATAGCTAGCTGAAACCAACTTGTGCAATATCGGCATTCCATCGCCAAATCTCGCTAAGCCGACCGCTTTCCGAGGCGATTTGGAAAACTCTAAAGACAAACAAGTCAAATAAAGTGAAACATTTACTTTTTGTACTAGTGCTTTTTGTACTAGTACTTTTTGTACTAGTGCTTTTTGTACTAGTTGAATGTCAAATTGAAGCCACTAGTTCCCAGATTCTTTCTTTAAAAAAGCCTATACCTATTCAATCCGCCGACCCGTGGATGCGCCAATCCCTTGTAGATCAGAGCCGCCACTCCACCGTACATGAAAACTGCCTAGGTTTTCTTTATTTTGTAAAAGCAAGCTGTAAAAGCTGTTTACTTGTAAAGAATCCGTCCAAACGACGGCTTTTAAGCCTCCAATACAAGTGTACAGAGTTGTACAAAGACCGAACATCTGAAATGATAGTTGAACTTTACTCATGACAAATCAAACCAGCACTAGCGCCCATTTATTAACACCGAAAACAGCTGATAGAGCCACGGAGGGAGCGTAGATGACAATTGACATGTAAACAATGGTCATCGAAAGGAAAAGGGTAGAGAAGAGACGGCGAATGAGAACGGATCGATAGCTGAAAGAGATTGACGATTTAGTGATAGGCAAATGGTTGGGAGTTTAAATTCTACAAATGAAACTATCTAGTTGGAAGTCACATAGACGATTTCAACGATTTTAGAGATACTCTGATGAGTTTGAGACCTCGGCATTGAATGGCTCAAACGGTAGAGAGCTGGTCAGGAGATTTAAGGGTCAGGGTCGAGGGTTCAACTCCCAAACTGTGATCAATCAACTAGCTGGAGATCACAAGTGAAATTCATGCTTAATTTATTGGACTAACCGATGAATGAAATATTCGTGTAAACATGTGGCTTGCATCTTGTGAAAAATCGGTAGAAAAACGAAGGCGGTGATCAGAGAAGCAAAAACGCCAACGACAAGGTTCAACCAGATTTGTGGGCCTAAATCGAAAGAGATGATGTGGATAAAATCGAATCGATGTCACCAAGTATTCCCACGCTGTTTTTGACGCTGAAAAGGTCATGAATTCAGTCAATTCAGTTATCAAATATCTAGCTGGATGTCACAAGTTCAATCCTTGAATTCTGGCCACCCTCTGACAAGTTTGAGATCTCAGCCTTGACAGGCTCGATCGGTAGACGGTCTGTTTAAAGGCTCACGAGTTGAGGGTTCAACTCCCATCACTGAAATTCATCCAGCTGGAAGTCACTGGTTCGATTCCTGGTCCGATAGCTTTTCTTTGGCGAGTTTGAGATCTCAGCCTTGACAGGCTCGATCGGTAGACGGTCTGTTTAAAGGCTCACGAGTTGAGGGTTCAACTCCCATCGCTGAAATTCATCCAGCTGGAAGTCACTGGTTCGCTTCCAGGCCTTAAGCTCCATACCTCTCTGAAACATCTCAGCCGGTATCGCCAACATGAGAATCCCGGAGAGAAATGTGGTGAGCAGGGAAAGGGCTACGGGCAAAGGCGTCATTTGACGTCCACCAATCAAATACTCATCTTTCGCCGACCGACCACCACGGTGAACAATGAGATGACTTCTGAATTGAAGGAATTTAATGAATAGATTAGATCATTCTATAGGACATAGTAAAGTCTTGTCTAAAGTGCTTTCTGCTGAAAGCTGCTCAACTTCTGAGTCTATCTCAACAATTCCAACTTAGTTGACTTACTTGATTGCATGATAGACACCGGTTCCAATCGACAGTAAAAGGGAGAAACCGAAAACACCATAATCTAACCAAGAGATCGTCTTTGTCTCCTCGAACGCCATTGAAGTTTCACCTATAAAACTGATACGGGTTTAGAAAAAGTGTTTCTAAAAAGAAAACATTGTGTGCCAACCAACTAGGCAAGTAAAAAAACTACAGCAAGACAAAACCATCTGCAACAAAACATCTACAAAAGGACATCTACTACAAGACATCTACAAGACATCTACAAGACATCTACAAGACATCTACAAGACATCTACAAGACATCTACAAGACATCTACAACAAGACAAAACATCTCTAAAGAGCTCAACTCATTAACACTTTTTCCCAAATTAACAATCTAAAAAAGCAATATGCTAAAACTGACATCCAACTAAAGAAGAGCTTTGAAAATTTTGACAAAATTCTATTACAATAAAAATTAGCAAGAAGAAAATTAGCATTTTAGCAAGAAATCAAGATTGCGATAATTTATCTTTCCAAAAAGAAAACATTGTGTGCCATCCAACTAGGCAAGTTTTCTGATCAATAATGTTTTGACTTAAAGCAAAAGTGTGCTTATGATAATGATAAAATTAAATTTCTTATTACTAGACAATTAATGCTTGCTATAAAAATTAGTCTTTGAGGATAGCCACCAAAAAATCGGCTGACTAAAAATCGGCTGACTTAAATGGCTCACAGACAGACGTTTGAAACGTTTTATGATCAATGATGTTTACTGTTTCACCTTGAAATTCGAGAGAGAAAAGGGAAAAGAGAAAAAGACGAGTAGATCATCTTTTTTAAAGACGACTATGTCATCTTTCATTCTTTATCACAAAACATTCCCTATCCGCTGGTCTGATCTGGATAATGATAAAGACTAATCAGATCATCCACTTAGAATTTGGTCAACGATTCAACTTGTTCTAACGATAAACCGGCCAGTGACTTCCAGATAGATGATTGGTCACTTGTGGGAGTCGAACTTTTGGTCCACAGATCTCTGAGTGACACTTTACAGACTGAGCCATTCAAGAATGAAATCTCAAATTGTAATAGAATGATTATTAGAAGATGAATCGACTTTGTGACTTCCAGATAGATGATTGATCATTTGTGGGAGTCGGACTTTTGGCTCAGAGGTCTGTAGCCAGTCAATCTATCGACTGAGCTATCCAAGAATGAAGTCTCAAATTGTAATAGAATGGCTATTAGAAGATGATTCATCTTCTAATAGCCCTTGTGACTTCCAGATAGATGATTGGTCATTTGTGGGAGTCGAACTTTTGGTCCACAGATCTCTAGCCAGTCACTTTATCCATTGATCCATCCAAGAATGAAATCGCAAATTTCAATAGAATGATTATTAGAAGATGAATCGACTTTGTGACTTCCAGATAGATGATTGATCACTTGTGGGAGTCGGACTTTTGGCTCAGAGGTCTGTAGCCAGTCAATCTATCGACTGAGCTATCCAAGAATCAAATCTCAAATTTCAATAGAATGGTTATTAGCATGGTTATTAGAATGGTTATTATTATCGACCTTGTGACTTCCAGTAGAGGTTATCTATCAGCAGATTTACACAATTAAGCGATCCTTCAACTATTAGACCGTATTAAACCGATTGTGCCTTTAGAGGCTAATCTTTTTTTTGGGGGGGGGGCTTTGGCCGCGGGCCCCGCCCCCACCCCCCCCCCCCCCCCCTCCAAATAAAAAAAAACCACACTTAAAATGGGGGGGGTTTTAAGAATAACCCCCTTATACTCCCTATATAATTTATAAAAAAAATATTTTAATAAATTAGCACCCTTCAAATTTTAGACCGTGGGTTGGGTTTTTGCTATCACAAACAAGACTGGGATTTTTGACAAAAACAGCTAATTTGGTGAGTTGAGACGTGTCTTTTAATTGTTTTCAAGTGGTTACAAATCAAATATTTATTCATTTGATCAATTTGTGTCTTTTTTCACGGCAAGAACCGCTAAAGGGGATCGAACCGAGGAGCCAATGACCAGAGTCGTCCCAAAGGTGAGGCAAGACAAAGCAAGTCTGGACAAGGTAAGACCAGTCCAGGGCTGGCTGACAGGCTCAAACCCCTGATCGTCATAGCCAGATCTGCCTGGTACAGCTTTATTTCTTGGATCTGTCTGATTGACTGGGCCAGGTATTAGAGAAACGTTGATCTTAGCTGTTAGCTTACAAACTTTTTGCAAAAGTTGACTTTTAGTTTTGACTCTGATCTTCGTTACAATCAAAAATGTTTCCGTGCTTTTCTCCAAAACCAAAGTTTATGGTGGTTTTACTGAAAAGTGAGCTGTCCTCGTTTCAAAATTTTACTTTGTTGATCATGTGTCGTTTTGCTCAAAATTTTGCCCAATTTTACGACTTTTGCGGTCATTTTTTGGCTATTTCTTTATGGTTTTTTTCGGAATTTGATTGGGTTCTCCACTTTACAGCTGAGATTAGTTGCGTTTATGAATGTGAGTGGGTGAAGAGTTGTTGATATTTAAGGCTGAAAGGAAAAACTTTCAAAACTATAGCAAACTCGGGCATTCTCGTCTCGTCTTGCTAGTTCCGTATCTACGAAAATGGTTAGTTAAAAGAAAACTTTTCAGGACTTTTCAGCAGGACTTGGCCTGGCCCTGGCTAGTCCTGGTTTCGGTGTTGTTTGGCCTCACCTGGCTATACCTAGTCGGCATACAGACTCTGGGCACGGTGGAGTTAGCTCATGCCTCACCCTAACCAGGGCCAAGTTCAGCGCCAAAAATATCACTCTTTAAAGCCATTCTAGGAGGTAACTGTGAGTTGAAGCTGAACTTACATATAGGACATAAGTAAGCCAATAAAAATAACCATAAACTTACCGTGCTCCAGTCGTACTCAATCCTCGTTGTCTCCGCTCTCTTCATGGTCTCTTATGGAACATTCACAAAACTTCCGACCAGCTATACTACTGCGATGAGAATATCAGCTTGTCAAGTAAACAATATAGATCTATTTGTCAAGGAAATGTCTAGGATTATTGCAAGGGTCAGTCGATTTCAACTACGACCGGTTTTAAATTCAAAGCAAAGGGATGGGAGCTGTGCAGTTGTCCGATTGCACAAGGATCTGGACAGTTTGTTTAAAGATTTCACAAATACTGTAATGTTTAGCTATTCAGCTATTCATCTATTCAGCTATTCAACTAACTTTCAGATGGGTGGGCACTGGTTGTTACACTGAATGCTGGCAAAGGTGTCAAGCCGGATTGGGTAGCTGCGCGAATCCAAGTGGCGCGAACTACACTGGGTGAGTTGAATGGCTACAGTCTACCAAGAATAGCTTCTGTAATAGCTTGTGCAATACCTTCTGTAATACCTTCAGTAATACCTTCAGTACTTTACTTCAAATGTTTCAGTGTCTGTTGCTCGACAGCTGACAACAATGCGACAATCCAGTCTCAGTGCTACGACACCCCTAATGGAGCTTGCTACCAAAATGGATCCGGATAAAAAGCCGAGTATTCAGCAAGAAACTTCAGTTAACTCAGTGAATAAAAATTGCAATCAAACAAAGCATTTAGACAATTGCCTATTAGCTGAATTAGCTGCTAAAGTCAAATACAGGTTGCAGCAGAAGTTCAATCCTTTTTAGAACTCTAAAAGCTTCCTAGTTGATTTTATTTCATACATTTTTATAGCCAAAAAAATTTTTTCAGAGAATGAAATCTTATTAAAGTTTTGAACTTCTTTAAATTTTGAGTTTCCACAAAATTCCGCTGCCTCATGTTGGATTCGAACCAGCGACCTTCTGTTTACTAGACATACGCTCTGCCACTGAGCCAATGAGGCTATGGCTTGTAAAGTAAAGAGGCTATCAGCTGAGCGGTCAGTATAACCGACAGCAAAACAACTAGTCACAAATACGAAAAATGAAAACTTAATGCGGACTAATACTTTAATAAAGCATGTGATATCCAGCTAAATTTTTGGTTACTTTTGGGAGTCGAACCTTTGACATATCACTGACTAGGTTGTCGCTCTACCAATTGAAACATCCAAAACTGAAATCTCAACTTGCAATAGAATGGTTATTAGAAGATGAATTGACCTTGTGACTTCCAGATAGATGATTGGTTACTTTTGGGAATTAAGCCCATCAAGCCTTTGACCTTTCACTGGTTGGCACTTTAGGTTGGCACTCTACCAATTGAAACATCCAAAACAAAAATCTCAAATTGCAATAGAATGGTTATTAGAAGATGAATAAACCTTGTGACTTCCAGATAGATGATTGGTTACTTTTGGGAGTCGGACTTTTGGCTCAGAGGTCTGTAGCCAGTCAATCTATCGACTGAGCTATCTAACAATGAAATCTCAAATTGCAATAGAATGGTTATTAGAAGATGAATCGACCTTGTGACTTCCAGTATAGGTTATACATCAACAGATTTACATAATTTAGCGATCCTTCAACTATTAGACCGTAGATTGTGTCTTTAGAGGCTAATCCACAAACAAGACTGAGATTTTTGACAAAAAAAAGGTAATTTGGTGAGTTCAGACGTATCTTTTAATTGTTTTCAAGTGGTTACAAATCAAATATTTATTCATTTGATCAATTTGTGTCTTTTTTTCACAGGAAAAAACCGCTTAATGGCATCGAGACAGACACTGAAATTGGACTGCTAAAAAAGCTAATAAAAACATTACATTACATTGCATACAAGTGAAATTAATGAAGGGCGTTTCTTTTGCAGAGAGCGACTCGAAATTTGTTATCACAGGATACATCATTCCATTTTGTTACAGCATACGGTGGAGCGTTTTCCCAAGTGTCTGCATTCACCTCAAAATAGAATTGGATTGGATTGGATTGCAAGTTTGGAGTGGAAAGTTTTGTCATTGTGAATAGCTCAAGGAAATTTTCTCTCTCTCGAGCAACAACAAGATCTGCAAAAAAACGGATTTTGCTCATTTTCGAGCAATTTTTGTCAACTTTAAAGGCTCAAACTGTTCTTTAAATGAATGAAAGAAATGAATGAATGAATGAATGAATTCAGTTGGGTAAGAAAAAACCTATAACAG